TGAGCTCTCCGAGCTTTCGCTCTCGCCCCTCTTGCGCTCCCTCGCTCGCTTCTCGCAACGTCCGCGCTCCAGAGTGCGAGCTTCGGGTTTCGCATCCGAACTCCTCGGACGGCCGCTGCCGATCTCTCGCTCTCGCTTCAGCGGAGTAAAGCGGGCGGGACCGCGGTTTTAGTTATACCCGTTACTCGTAGAGTAAAAGGGTATATTGTATTCGTGCAAAAGTAGAAGGTAGAAGGAAGCGTTTCCGACCCTATCAAGTATATATATTCTTGTTCAGGATCACTAGCCGAGTCGAACTAGCCATGTCCGTCTGTCTGTCCGTCTGTCCGTCTGTCTGTCCGTCTGTCTGTCCGTATGAACGCTGAGATCTCGGAAACCATAAAAGCTAGAAGATTGGCATTTTGCATGTAGATTTGAGGAGTTCCTACGCAGCGCAAGTTTGTTTCAAAATGGTGCCACGCCCCCTCTGACGCCCATAAGCCACAAGCTGTGGCCACAGTTTTGATGCTATTATGAAAATTTGAATTGATATGTATTTGTTTCGTCAATAAATAGCGATTGGCCTAATAAAAGTTTGCCACGCCCACTCTAACGCCCAAAAACCCATTAAACGCTTTAGCTTTAGCCCTTTCGCCTTTATGGCGCTCTAACGGATGACTTTGAAAAGACAAAGGAAAATTTTCATTTGTTTTCATTTGTCAATACCGAACTATATCCCAAGAACTATGCAAATCAAATCAAGTTAGCCAAATTGGAGGTCTGAGTCAAACAATGGCGTATGTGTGTATTTATGTAAGCATATACATATGTATGTATTTACATTGTACTCAGTTGCAATTGCCCGGCAAAGATAACTCCTTTCAAAAAAGCTATTCGCTATACCCGTTACTCGTGTTGTGCAAACATTTAGACTTTAATATACATAATACTATTTAAGAATGTATGTGTTTAGCCAATATAAGTATGTATGTTTAATATTTCTAGTCAATTTATTACAAGAAGGCATATTTATATTAAGTTGTTTAGCTGAGTAACGGGTATCTAATAGTCGAGGCACTCGACTATAGAGTTCTCTCTTGTTTTAATATTTTATTGTCCATTTTTTAAACGAATTATCTGAAATATTTTCAAAGATTTTTTCACACAGTGCCATTAGTTGGCTGATTTTGTATATACCGGCTTCTTTTTCAAGCCTTTGTAAAATTGACCTAAATCAAATGTACCATTGGTATATAGATCGCTAACATTTATTCTTGCAATAATTTTTTTCCCATGCTTAAAATAGCATTTGATATCATTTAAATGCAAGGTCACCACTTTCTTTACTTCGTCGTTGTTAAGGACGTCGTATATTTTGGGCATAGAAGCTTTTTCAAGACACTGCCTAGGCAGCTGTGCTTGATTTTTCCCTGCGCAGGGTTTATTCTGTCTGTACTGATTTCTTGTAGTGACTTGTAAAATTTGCTTTTATATGTTTTTTCGTTCTTTGATGGTTATTCTAGATAACGTATCAGCAACGTAATTGTCCTTTCCCTTAAGATACCCAATTGTAAATTCGTATTCTTCCAAATCTAGTCTTATTCTTGTTAATTTAGAGTTTGGATTAACCATAGAAAAGAGGAATGTTAATGGTCTATGGTCTGTTTTAACTAGGAAATGTCGCCCATAAACGTAAGGTCTGAAATGGTTAATTGCCCAATGTATTGCTAGTAGTTCATGTTCCGTTGTGCTTTTATTGGATTCTCCTTTAGTAAATGATCTCGATGCATAAGATACAGGAAGCTGTATGCCATTATGTGCTTGTGTAAGGACTGCTCCGCAAGCTTGCTTACTTGCGTCCGTGATTATGCAAAATTCTTTAGAAAAATCGGGGTATTGAAGTAGTGTTGGACTCATTAATTTTTTCTTTAAGTAATCAAAAGCACTTTGGCACTCTGGTGTCCATTCGAATTTAACACCTTTTTTGCATAATTTAGTTATGTGACGGGAATAATCTGCAAAGTTTTGAATGAATCGACGATAATAATTGCAAAATGCAACAAATCTGCGGGCGCTATCCGCGTACGTGGGGACTGGGTACTTTTCAATGACTTCATATTTTTTGTCATCTGGCATTATACCTTGATCTGTACACTTGTGATCAAGAACGGTCACTTCTTTCATGAAAAATGAGCATTTCTCTGGATGTAGTTTAAGATTATTTTTTCTGCAAAGTTCAAAGACGTTTGTTAAGTTTTTCAACATATGATTTTCTGAACATCCTATATCTATTAGGTCGTCCATGTAGAGGAATGCTTGGGATGGCTCCAAGCTGGAAAATGCAATTGTCATCATACGCTGGAAAGAATTTGGGGCTATTTTTAAACCATAAGGTAATCGTGTAAAACGATAAGAGCCATAGCTCGTTGAAAATGAAGTTATATTTCTGGACGATTCCTCTAATTCAATTTGGTGGAATCAGGACATAAGATCTAAACAAGAGAAATACTTTGCCCGGCCCAATTGATCAAGTATGTCATCGATTCTAGGTAGTGGAAATTTGTCTGCTAAAAGTTTTTTATTAATTTGAGTCAGGTAATGATTTTTTGGAACAAGTAACAGAGGGCTATTATATTCTGATACTGAGGGCTCTACTATTTTATTTTTTATAAGTTTGTCCACTTCCTTTGTTATTTCCTCTTTATGACATTGTGGACTTCTATAGTTTTTTATATATACGGGTTCATCATCTTTTACTCTTAAATTTTGCTTGTAGAAATTATTAGTAGATATCGGTTCGGTTTCGAGACCGAATATGTCACTATATTTTGAACAAAGATTTGTTAAGACATTTTTAAATTGAGTCGGAAAATTTTGTTTTAGCTTATTGATGACTTTTTCGTTTCTATTTGTGCCATTTAAATTGACAATATTATAGTTGTCGATAGATTCGTGTTTAATGTTCTTAAGGTTTACTATTTTGTTCTCATTTGTAGTGTTTAAAATTCGGACGAATGTGGTTTGGGGATCTGAAATTGTATTTCCTATGAATATACCATCTTCAATTTCTTGATTTGGTATTAGAAGGGTTTTATTACTTTCGGTTAAATTTATTTTTCTAATTACTTCGGAGCGTGCTGGTATAATTATTTCGTTAGTTTCTATATAATGAATGATTGTTATTTTTATCGGAAATTTTAAATTATCAGGTCTTAAAATGAAAAGGTCATTATCTTGATTGAAGTCCAATATACAATTAAATTTCTTTATGAAGTCTATTCCAATTATTCCGTCTACCGGTATTGAAAGGGAACTATAAGAAAGTTATGTGGTTTTATATAATTGCTTGTTCTTAATTCAATAAATGATATTCCTATTGTTGTTATTGAGCCTTTGCCTATTCCTGATATTTGTATAATGTTATTGAAGTCCGTATCAATGAAGTTGTCGGAATTTTCTTTAATGAGAGAAATATCCGCTCCGGTGTCTATCAAAAAGGTGAGTGATTTTTGTGTAAGTTCATGTTTTACTTTTACGAATATATTTAAATTAAGAGTAATAGAGTGAACTTTGTTGTTTTTATACCCTTGCAGAGGGTATTCTAATTTTGGTCAAAAGGGTGTAACGCAGTGAAGGAGACATCTCCGACCCTATAAAGTATATAAATTCTTGATCAGGATCGCGTCCTGAGTAGATATAAGCATGTCCGTCTGTCTGTTTCTAAGCGAACTAGTCTCTCAGTTTTAAAGATATCGAATTGAAACTTTGCACACACCCTTCAGTCCTTTGCACGCAGTATTAAGTTAGGAAGTTCGGATTTTCTATGGGTTTTTTTTTGGCCAATCAATTCGAACTACCAAATTTCATAAGGATCGGCCGACTATATCCTATAGCTGCCATATAACTGAACGATTGGAAATGCCATAACTTTGGTGTTTTTAAAGTTAGGAAGTTGGGATTTTTTATGAGTGTCATCATATAATAATTTTGGAGAATATAATTTACAGAATATTCTGCAAGGGTATATCAACTTCGGCTCCACCCGAAGCCAACTTTCCCTTCTTATTATATATAAAACACATTATTTTGCCATAACTTTTCAATAAGCTTTTATTTAGACCAAAGTGACTCTCTTCTTGAGGTTCTAATTTTTTGTTGGATGGTAAGTATGAAAATTTTATTAATGACGCAGGGCTTCCCGAATCTATTAGGCACTCTGTAATAATGGGCTGGTTAGTGTTTTCAATACTACAAATTTTGAATAATCTTACATATTTGTTATCAACCTTCTTCTTGTTCTGGATGGTAAGAATGAAAATTTTATTAATGACGCAGGGCTTCCCGAATCTATTAGGCACTCTGTAATAATGGGCTGGTTAGTGTTTTCAATACTACAAATTTTGAATAATCTTACATATTTGTTATCAACCTTCTTCTTGTTCTGGTGACATTCAGTCAAACTGTGATCTTCTGCGCCACAACCATAGCATGATCCAGGCGGCCTAATCGGCTTGGTGCATTTTCTCTTCCAGTGCTCCTTTGCGTTGCAGTTGAAACAACGCGTTTCTCTGCTTGCTGAACCCTTCTTCGATGTTGACACTTTGGTTGCTCTCGCCCTTCTCGGCAGCATGATGTCCGCAAAAGCTCGAAACATGCGTTCCGTGCCTTCGAAACATTGAAGCTTGGTCTGTGTACGTAAGCTTAGAGCTGGAATGCCCTCCACGAGTCCGTCCAGTAGTTCGTTCTCCTCCATGCTGACATCTCGAGCAAGTCTGCATTTTTCCTCGAAGTAGACAGTGAATTTTTCAGTTGACGACCAAATTCGTGCCCCAAACTTGCGCCTCAATGTAGGTTTGATTCGATACCCCCGAAAGCTAGCTGCAGTGGTTCCAGCAGCTCATATGTGGGCTTCACGAACCGCCCTTCATCTGCATGCAGCCACTGCAACGCACTGTTCTTCAACTTGCTGATCAGCAAGATACGTCGTTGCATGTCTGAAAGGCTATAGCCGTTAAGTTGCCTCATTGAGCGATCCATGATCGAACATCCACTTTATCCATCAGCATTTCCTTAGCCATGTTGAATCCCGGTGACGAAAAACCACCATTCTCCGACGCTATTTCGTCATAACCGACGCTGCCGACGCCTCTGCCACTGCCACTGCCTCTGTCGCCATCGCCTTCTCTGCCACCGCTTTCTCTCCCGCCGCCGTCTCTCCCGCTGCCGTTTCTGCCGCCGCCGTCTCGGTCGCCGCTGTCTCCGCCGCCGTTATTTCGTTGCATCGCGATTGCGTCTCCTCTGCCTGCGCTGTTTTGCCCCTGCGCTTTTTCGCCTCCTCTGCCACCGTTGTCTCGACGCATCGCATTTTCGTATCCACTGCCTCCGTTGTTTCGGTTGCCGCCAACGCTGTCAAAATGATAGTTTACCTTCTCCAGCATTTCCTGAGCTTTCACAATTTCGAATCGCAGATTTCCCAAGGTCTCAGCGCCAACTTCTAGCTCACAGCGATTTTCCTCGTCACTTTCTGATTCTGCTAGCTCCATTGTTTCACGCTCCTTTTCTACAGTGTTCTCAAGCGCGCTTCCGCGAATTTCATAAGGATCGCCCGAGCAAAAAGTTCCGTTTTAGTGCCCTTCGTCGAGAGATTTAGGAGCTCCATCCACCTTTTTAACTGAGAACTTATCAATCCCACTTTTGAGATTGTACAAGGAATAAACACGGTCTCTTTATTTAACTTTAATTTATTACACATGTTCTACTTGGTTCTTAGTTCGATCGGGACTCAGCTTCTCTGCTCGCAGGCAGCTCTCTCTGGCGCTCTCTCTTGAGAGAGAGGGATAGCACCTCTCTTAAAAGAGAGAGCCACTGCTCTAATAGTGTGGCCAGCTTATCTTTATTATACTTGGACTGTTACATTAATAGAATCAGCGGTATAATTGGTGTTAATTGAACAATAACTATAGATGCTCTGTATAAAATGTTCACCATGATGTATTCGATATATATTTAAATTATTATTGTATGAACATTTTATGAAATATTTATATATCTTCGTTGTGAATATTTAAAAAAAAAATATTTTAGTTTTATATTTCACTTATTCTTGATTACATTTTTCTAACTTTTTTATTCATTGCTTTTCACTTATTTCGGGCGAACTTTACTATTCGTCTGATAATCAATAATCAAACCTCGGCTTAAGAGAATTATCTCCGAAAACTGATTCAAGAGAATAACTCAAGATGGAGTTTAATTTGAAATAAAACCTCTTCCGGAAATGGCTTTGTTGTTTATAATATCAACTGTGGTGTTAACAGTATCCGTCTGATGCGGAGTATGTGAAATTGATCTGGATGGGAATCGTTTGGAGGCGTAGTTGAAGGAAAAAGGTGAATTAGGATTTATCGCGAAGTCAGGCAGCGTTTTTTCAAAATTGAGCTCTTGGCGCAAAATTGTTTATAAATTAGGTAAATGCCCCTTAATAATGAGCCATATATAACTTGCATATTGTATATGTTTTTGAATTAGATTTACATTTTCTGAACTTTAGTATTTATACATTAAAAATCAACATATACCACAGTACATCTTGTGGTAATTGTTTTTTATGTTTCATCATGTAAAAATACAACATTTAACGGGGGTAATTTTTTACGAATTTTTATTGGCGATACGGATAGTCACACTTAAATTTTTCTTTTACCATGTGATAATTCAACAATTAAACAATATGTGGAAAAATTTGAATCCAAAGATATTAAAAGGCGAGTGAGTATAGCCAATCTCCGGCGGCACCTCGAAAAAAAGTGGTTTGCGGAGAATATCATAACTGGTCACAGAATCCTCCATCAAATTGTATTTTTTAAAGAACTAATTTTACCTGGTAACGGTGTCGAGTTTTTTTTTTATCGATTTTTAAAGGCACTTGGAAGTCAAAAACCTCAAATTCAACCATTCAAAAAAAAAAATAATGCAACTAAAAAATTTAAATAACTATACTATTTGTGTGAAAACTTGCATTCAACAATATTGAAAAGTAAGTGAAATATAGACAATCTTCGTCGGCACCTCGAAAAAAAGTTGCTTTGGGGTGTACATCGTAATTGGTTCTCTAAATTAAAAAAATAAAATAGCATTATTTAAAGGACAAATTTCCACAGGTAATTCTGTCGAGTTTTATTTTTTCAATTTTTAAAGGCATTCAAAAGTCAAAAACACCGATTTTCGCCCAAAAGTCAAAGTTATTCGTTATTGTACAAATAATAAATTTTCCCAAAAATAAAAAAAAATCGACAGCATTACCTGAGTAATTTAGTTAAGAAGTACTGTGCAAAATTCAAACGATTCGTCCTGTAGATTTTGCAGGATCGTGTACACCGCTTTGAAAATGTCAACTTTTCAGGTGAGCGTTTCAAAGTTTTGGACACCCAAAAATCGAATATAAAGCGCGTTAACTTACCTACGTTACACTGCCCATAACTTCGGAAGTTTTACTCGGATCAATCTAAAATTTTAAGACAATTCTCTTAAAAGTTTGTGCAATCAGAAAAAATAAAAACAAAAAAAAAATTAAATAATTTTACCCCCTTTAAAAAACTGTTATGCTCAAAACTTTTCCCACCATATTTACATATAACACATTTTTTTGGTTTGTTGGTTTCGGGATGCAAATATACTATATATATAGTAATCGGTACGTCGAATGGTAAGTCTCGAACCCTCTTGATGGGTCTGGTGTTGGCGGAGGCGATGGTATTCCACTCGTTCTGATAGCCTGACAATTTGCTTACAATATTAAAAATAATTATTTTTATACCCTTGCAGAGGGTATTATAATTTTGGTCAGAAGTTTGTAACCCAGTGAAGGAGACGTTTCCGACCCCATAAAGTATATATATTCTTGATCAGGATCAATAGGGGAGTCGATATAGCCATGTCTGTCTGTCCGTCTGTCCGTCCGTCCTTCTGTCCGTCTGTATCAATACCGTTTGCGAGCTCAGTTTAAAAGCTAGCGATCTGAAACATTCACAGTCCTCCTAAAACATGTGTACGCACATCGGACGTCTATATCCTATAGCTCCCATAGGAACAATCGGATATACCTTGCAAGAATTAAAGAAATTTCGCGCAGTATATAAGCTATTGACATGAATCTTTCTAAATCTTTTTTTTTATGTTAGCCTTGATCAGGGTAAATGGGCGTACCGATCAGACGTCTATATCCTATAGCTCCCATAGGATTAATTGTTAAAAGCTGTGAAAAGATCCCTTTTCTATTTTCATTACATTTTTGCAGTATAAAAGCTATTAACATGAAACTATTCAAATCTAATTTATTTATGTATACCTTGCTCAGGGTAAAATCAGACAACCATATACTACATCTCCCATTTAAAAATTAAATTGGTTACATATAGAAAATCTTTTTTTTTGTATATACACTCATGGACAAAATAATAGGTGTTTTTTTTTTTTCTTTTTTAACTTTCTGTTTCTAACTCATATCTTCTCTAATCTCAACAAATAAATTTTTTTTATAACTTCTATTAATTGTCTTTAAAAAAAAAGTAAAAACAGATTCACAAATCTTTTAATATAACACTTATTTAAATATTTCCTTAAATCCTCCAATTTTGGCTGGACACAATAATAGGTGTACAAAGATAAATGTTTAAATTAAATTAATATTTCACTATGTTTGGTCTTTTTTTTATTAAACTAAGTATTTGGCATATTTTGCAAGACTTTCTCCATTCGTCTTATCATAATAATAATTATAATATCCTCTATATATTAACGTACGACAAGTTCCAATTGGAATGTTGTACCATGCACTTTGGACAATATCCCAAAGTTGATTTTTATTTTGACAAAAAGTCTTCCGATGCCTCTTTTGAGTTCACCCCAAAGATTCTCGATGGAATCGAGGTCCAGGGATTGACTTAGCCACTCAAGAACATCCAAATTTTGCTCTCAGAACCAATCCTTTGCTACTCGAGAGGCGTGCTTTGGGTCATTATCCTGCTGAAACTTCCATAAAAGTGGCATATTATCCTGAGCATATGGTAGCATTACCGTCTCCAATAGATCTTTGTATACTAATCTGTCCATTATTCCGTCAATACGATGAATCGGACCAACACCATGCCATGAAAAGCAGACCCATACCATGAGGCTACCACCTCCTTGTTTCACAGTTTAATATGTGTACTTGGGATCAAATTCTTTGCCTTTCGGACGACGAACACTCCTTTTGGCATCATTTGCAAATAAATTTATTTTGGTTTCGTCACTCCAGAGGATATTACGCCACTTTTTCTCACACTCCGGTCCGCACCAGGATCTACGATCTAATGCAAATTTTTTCCTCACTGTAAATTTGCCGATCGAAGCAAAGGAACCTTGCGAGCAATCCTACCTGGTAGGTTTTCTATTGCCAATCGTCGCCGAACGGTCCGTGATGACACAATATTCCCAATTTCATTGGCAATCGTCCTGGAAGACTTGAACGGGTCGCTTTTAACCAACATAACCGTGCGATCGTCGGTCTTAGATGAGGTTTTTCTAGGTGCTCCCCGAGTTTCACCTTTTTTTTTACGGTTTTAAGGCATTGGTTACGAAATTTTGAGAACGTTTCATTATCATGGCAATGGATTTATACGTTTTTCCTTCATCTCGGAGCCGTCGAATGGGCCTTCTCTCCTCCGCACTGCTGTGACGCCCACGGCCCACCTAATAAAATTTTTATGGTTGTTAAGTCACCATTTAAGTTTATTTTCCTAATAACTTACCTTCTGCAACCAAGTAATTGTATTTATAAACTACAGGCAAATGTTTTCCTTCATACACCTATTTTATTGACCACAATTTTTCCCAAAAAGCTTATTAATTCCGGGAATTCACACAATTCGTTCCGAAACAGTGTGACCATATTAAAAAAGTATAGTTTTCTTGATAAATCTTATGTTTATATCGATTTAAATCGATATTAAAAAAAAAAAACTTCACACCTATTATATTGTCCATGAGTGTAATTACATAAAATTTACTTTCTTATTTCCCTCAGTTTATCAACTATTGACATACATTTTTCAAAGTCTGCAAGGGTATTAAAACTTCGGCTTGCCGAAGTTAGCTTCCGTCCTCGTTTTTATTTACATTTCATAAAATTTAAACATTTTTAATCATGTAAGCTAATTCTACCGTTGATCTGTTGAACATTGTAACTACACAAATAAGAGAATTTAGTAAGGAGTATGAGGATATTTTTTCTATTAACGATTTGAAGAGAGCTACCACAAAACTACTATTTATGCTGTAAAATATTTAAATGATTTTAACATCGAACTTGTTATGAGCATCCATTTTATAAAAACCCCGACTGCACCACACCCTAAGCCATCTATTACTATCTACCATTCTTATTGGAGATCTTACTGCAAAAACAGCAAACGAATAATATTATAAAGGCATGGCAGATAGCAAAACATCTTGGAACTTGGAACTTGTTTCCTTTGTTACCCTTGGCTCGCCTAGTAATGTT